GCCATCTTCAAATGGTCGTATTTTAAAAACTATAAATCCTACAGCGAGGAGCTTTATATTATGATATTGAATCACATGACCCAGACCTACATTTTGATGCATAGTATGTCTCTGAAGTATTAAAAATGAAGGCACAGTCGCAGTTTAGAAATTGCCATTCAAATTTGAGCTGGCTAGAGTGGAGTTTCAATGAATGTCAATGGACAACATGAGTTTCAAACAAATGGTCATATTGTGAAAACTATCATGACTATGGCTATGCAAGAACACTTAATAATAATAATAATAATAATATATATGTGAGATAACATTAAGTGGTCTTGCTATGCAAGAACACTTAAATAACAAATCAAGGCCTAGATAAGGTAATACAACGTGAGCAGGGTATTACTTTAGGGCAGGTGGAACTGAACCAATTAAGGGACTGGAGAGCCGAGTGGAGTATGAAATTTGATGTTGATGAATGCAATGTTATGTATTTTGGGTCGAGTAGTGCCCAGGCAACTTAGATCCTAAATGGTACTGGGTTATGGAAAATATTAAATGAGAAGGACTTGGGGATAGTTACATACAACAATCTATCCAACAAAGTGCAATGCCAGTTAGCAGTTCCTAAGACCAGTGGTGTATTATGAAAATATATTAGCTTGCTTTTTTTATATACGAAGATGACCGTTTGAATAAGTGGTTCAATTTCAGGCACCTGATTTAAAGAAAGATCTTATAGAATTAGGGACAGAGAAAGTGGGAGCAGTCAAAGTGTAGATGTTTAGGACAATAAGGGCATGAACCCAGGTAGATACTGTAAGAGAGGAGAAAATGGTTTATTGTCCAGGTATAGTAAGAAAATTGATATAAAACTTAGCTTTTAATAGAAAATAATAATAAAAAAAGCATATGTAGAGATGTCCCTTAGAGGAATCATAAATCAACTGAGAGCTGAATAATCATTGTATACGGATGCTAGTTTCTAATATGGCATCTATAGATGGTGGAAAACAAAATAGATCAATCAGTGCTAGAGTTTCCCTTGAGTTTCTGCATTGTTGGAGGTGGAACTGAGGTGGAACTGGAGAATTGGAGGTAGAACTGCTCCTCAGTTCGACCTCCAACAATCTCATGCAGAAACTCACGGGAAACTCTAGCATTCTCTATATATAGTTGTAATATTCCTCTTCTTTTCCTTTATATAAATTTGTATACAAAGTATATATATATTTTTTGGTCTTGTGTCATCAGACTCAACCTTTGGTGTCCCAGTGTCTCCCAGCCAGTGTCCCTAGTGTCTCAGTGTCCCCATGTCTCCCAGTGTCTCTGGTGTCTCAGTGTTTCCTAGTCTCCCAGAGTTCCCTAGTCTCTCAGTGTTCCCATGTCTCTCAGAGTCCCCATATCTCTCAGTGTCCCCATGTCTTCCAGTGTAATGATATTGATGTTACAAAGTTTTGGAGTCCAGTAGCCAGATCAGCAATGTTTTCTGCCAGAGGTAGCCACTTGTTACCCAGGTGGTTGAGCCCCTGAGCCTTGAGTGGCCTTCTGGTCTTAAGCAGAGATGGGAGACTGGAACAGAAAGATGATAATCGTAGTGAGGCAAGCCGAGGTCAGTGGGAAGGAGAAGCAGCAAAGTCAAAACAGTCCAAATTCAGCAACAGGAAGGAGAAACAGGAACACGCTTGATTAGAGAGTACAGGAACCACAATAATCTGGCAAAGGTACAGAGACAGGAAGTGGCTTTTATAGGCCAAGAACCAGACACCTGACCAGACACAGCTGAAGAGAGTTGTCACTGATAACCTTGACTCTACAAGCAATGGTATCAGATCTCAGGTAAATTTGCAAAAGGCAGGCTGGTTTACTGGTAAGGAAAAGGTTTAGCACCATGTAAACCAGGGTTCGAAACCCAGCAGAGTCAGTTCCTCACATCCAGTGTCTCAGTGTCCCCTAGTATAAAAGAAAAAATCTCAGGCACTCACTGTGATAGATTTATGCAGGTTAATTGGATCCCACAATATTTTGACCTGTACCCAGTTTTATCAAGTCTCCAGTGTCCCTGGTGTCCCCTAGTCTCCCATTGCCCCAAGTGTCTCAGTGTCTCCTAGTATAAAATAAAAAAATCTCAGGCACTCACCGTGATAGATTTATGCAAGTTTATTGGACACCGCAACGTTTCGACCTGTACGCAGGTCTCCAGTGTCCCCTATGTATCACAGTGTCCATTGTGTATAACAGTGTCTTAGTGCCCATGTCTTCCAGTGTCTCATTGTGTCTCAAAGTCACCCAGTGTCCCCATGTCCCCCCCGTGTCTCCATGTGTTCCAGTGTCCCCAAGTGTCTCAGTGTCCCCAGGTCTCCTAGTGTCCCCTAGTGTCTTAATGTCCCCATGTTTTACAGTGTCTCAATTTCTCTCTGTATCCCCTAGTGTCCTAGTGACATATGGAAACTGGGGGACACAGACACTAAGGGACACTGGGAAACATGGGGATGCAGACACTAAGGGACACAGGGAGACATGGGGACACAGACACTAGGGGACATAGAGACATGGGAATACTGGGCGACTTTGAGACACGAGGGGATTCTGGGCGACACGGGGCACTGAGACACTGTGATACACAGGGGACACTGGAGACCTGGGGAAACAGACACTGGGGACACTGAGACACTGGGAGATTAGGGGACTGGGAGACTAGGGGATACTGGAAGACATGGGGACACTGAGACTCTGGGCGACATGGAACACAGACACTGGGAGATTAGAGGACTGGGAGACTAGGAGACACTGGAAGACTAGGGGACACTGGGAGACATGGGGACACTGAAAGACTGGGAAACTAGGGGACACTGGGAGACATGGGGACACTTAGGGTCAGATTAAGAGCGCAGTGGGCCTGGCGCTGACAATTATGATGGGCCTAATTACAAAATCTTATCGACCAAAAACACTAAAACAGCCCTACCTCCCAAGCGTCATGTATCTTATGGAGATGGTGCTGGAGGGAAACTCATAGGATGCAGCTATGAGAAAATACATACCCTATGCTAATCTCAAGCAGTTATCTATCAAGTAAATCCATATCCCCTAACAGCAGTGTCCAGTGAAGCAGGGAAGTCTATGGATGGGGGGAAGGAAAGGGTGGGCCACTGACATGAATCACGTAACCAGAACTGTCGAACTGGGCGAACATACCCAAAAAGGGGGCATGTCTGCCCAAAGAATTTGAAGGACAGCCTGGCATGAATGCATGTCAGGCTGCCTGCCACTCATGCAAGCTGGCCAACTAAGTAGGGCATACTATGCAGACGGTACCCTGAGCTTGCATAAATGCATCTAATGATGCACTTGCTCATGTCCCCTAGCAGTCACATGTAGACTTGTCTCCTTACCTTCTTACTAGCAGGCAGAAGCTCCTGGTATATAGTCTGGGACAAGGAAAAGGTGTATGTAGTGAGTGTAGAAGAAAGAAGAAACAGTGTTAGAGAGACCAAAGTCTGCATTACCTAAACTAATTTCATTGTCAGCCAGTCCACACAAGTTTTGTTTCTCTACATCCCACAAGTTTCCATACTTAAGCAAGAGTATGTGAAAAGTAGTTAGAGTTACCACCTTTCTTGAAAAAAAAAGCTACTAATTTACTTAGTTCTAATGTGCACATACATTTTGTATGTGTGACATCACATGATGTAAATCACAAGGAATGACTTAAGAGATAATTCTGTAAAATCACCAAAAAACTACTTACAGTTTGATTCTACTGTATATATGGATTGTTCCCAGTGTCTCCCTGTCTCAGTCTCCCAGGTCTCCTAGTGCCTGAGTGTTCCTATGTATCACAGTGTTCCCATGTCTCCCAGTGTGCCCCAGTGTCCCCTAGTGTCCCCATGTCTCCCAGCATCCCCTAATCTCCCAGTCTTTCAATGTCCCCATGTCTTCCAGTGTCCCCTAGTCTCCCAGTTCCCTAATCTCCCAATGTCTGTGTCCCATGTCGCCCAGAGTCTCAGTGTCCTCATGTTTTCCAGTATCCCCTAGTCTTCCAGTCCCCTAATCTCCCAGTGTCTCAGTGTCTCCTAGTGTCTGTGTCCCCAGATTCCCAGTGTCCCCTGTGTATCACAGTGTCTCAGTGCCCCATGTCGTCCAGTGTCTCCTCGTGTCTCAAAGTCAACAAGTGTTCCCATGTCTCTGTGTCCCCTAGTATACTATACACTGAGACACTTGGGGACAATGGGAGACTAGGGGACATTGGGAGACTAGGGGACACTTAGGCACTAAGGACACTGAGGCACCACGGATACTTAGAGACACCAGGGACACTGGGAGACATGGGACACTAAGACACTGTGATAAATAGAGGACACTGGAGTCTTGATAAAGACCTGGGTACAGGTTGAAACATTGTGGTGTCCAATAAACTTGCATTAATCTATCCCAGTGAGTGCCTGAGATTTTTTCTTTTATACTAGGGGACACTAAGACACTTGGGGGCACTGGGAGACATTGGGACACTGGGAGACTAGGGGACACTGAGAGACTAAGGCACTGCAGACACTGAGAGACACCAGGGATACTGGGAGACATGGGGCACTAAGACACTGTGATACATAGGGAACACTGTGATACATAGGGGACACTGGAGACTTGATAAAGACCTGGGTACAGGTCAAAACGTTGCGGTGTCCAGTAAACCTGCATAAATCTATCACAGTGAGTGCCTGAGATTTTTTCTTTTATACTAGGGGACACAGAGACACTGGAAGACATGGGGACACTGAGAGACATGGGGACACTGAGAGACTAGGGGACTCTGGGAGACTAGGAAACACTAGAGACACACCAGGGACACTGGGAGACATGGGGACACTAAGACACTTGGGACACTGGCTGGGAGACATGGGGACACTGGGAGTGCCTCATGTTTTCCAGGTCTCAAAGTCGACCAGTGTCCCCATGTCTCCCCGTGTCCTCATGTTGCCCAGTGTCCCTTAGTGTCCGTTTCCCCATGTCACTAGGACACTAGGGGACACTGAGAGACATGGGGGCACTGTGAGACATGGGAACACTGAGACACTAGGGGACACTGAGACTAGGGGACTCTGGGAGACTATGTCCCCAGTGTCTCAGTGTCCCCATGTCTCAGTGTCCCCATGTCTCAGTGTCCCCAAGTCTCTCAGTGTCCCTTGGTTTCCCAGTGCCCCCTAGTGTCTCAGTGTTTCCAAGTGTTCCTATGTCTCTCAGTGTCCCCAAGTCTCACAGTTTCCCCTAATGTCTCAGAATGCCCAGGCCTCCCAGTGCCCCTTAGTGTCTTAATGTCCCCAAGTGTCTCAGTGTCCCCTAGTGTCTCAGTGTCCCCTAGCGTCTCCCAGTATCCCCTAGTGTCTGTGTCCCCATGTCTCCCTGCAGCCTTTCCTTCCATCTCTCACTTACCTGAGCTGTAGGCTGTCTCTGCAGACTCGGAGCTGCTGTCTGGACTCTCTGTGCAGAGCTGCTCCCCCGCGTATCCGTGAGTAGAGAGAGGCAGGGAGGAAGATGCTGTTACTTCCTATCCCTGCCTCTCTCCACACACAGTGACTCCTATTGGCGATGCTGGTATTGCAAAATACTCTGTTTATACCAAGACTGACATTTGTATTGCTGGTATTACTGCAATACCGGCACCGGCTAGGCAGCCTCAAATACCGGAGAAATACCGGCCAGGTGGCAACCCTATGAGTAGTGTGTAAAAAAAAAAAAAAAATGTTTTTAATCAATGGGCCTATTTTATGGGCATAGGCCTAGAGCTGCAGCTTCATCAGTCCCTGTGTTAATCTTGCCCTGCACATACCCACCCTAATGGTCTTATTTAACCCCTTAAGTACCAAGCTTCTGGAATAAAAGGGAATCATGACATGTCACACATGTCATATGTCCTGAAGGGGTTAATCATAATTTGTTAATTCAGAATGCAACATATAATTGTGTTAAGTATCCAAGTTAGAAGAGGATGAAACAGTATGTACACAAAACAGAAAAAAATACAGAAACAGGATAAAGGGCAAAAAGAATAATGAACAGGGTGATCCCTAATTATAAAAAGCAAACTAGGTCTATGTCCACATTTAGTCCCTTAGGTTCCAATGTTTGGAGTTTGTGAATCCAGTAGGTTTCACGTTGAGCTAATTTCTTAACCCTATAACCTCCTCTCCAGTATGGCATCACCTTTTCAATGCCTATAGATTTGAAATTTATAAAAGAGAAATAGGGACAGGAGTTGCAGTGGACCGGGACCGAATGTGTGATAAGACCTTTATTATAAAAGATGTTCCAAGACTCTTACTTTAAAAATTATTTTAATACGGCCAATTGGCAGAGTCATTTGTACAATATAAACATATCACGGCACGTATTCAGCTTGCAGGGACAGGTGAGGGTACAGAAGAGAAAACAGGAATGGGTGAAGGGGACTGGTTCATATTTCACATAACATTTGAGTCACATGGGTGCCTGTGGTTTGTGAAGGACTAGTGCAGGTAGCCCTGCATTTGGAAATGCTGTGTGCCTTAATATCATTGTGCCTGTTTGGTGGGATTGGTGCTCGCTGACTGAGTTCCAGCTGCTGTGTGGATTGAGACAATTCTGCATAGCAGACAATTGGTTTGCCTTAAGGGCACAGAACCACTTTTTTTTTTTTTTTGCAGTATCCCTTATGGTTCATCAGCTTGACTGGCGATAAGATCTGTTCACGATTGCCAGGTATCTCGGAACGCCTGAGCTCTGGCAAGGGATTCTATCGACATGCATTTCGTAAGTGTGGAATTGATTTTGTCTGTGAGTTGCATTCTGGACGGGCACTTTTGGTGCTTCCAATGGAGTGCAATTAGGTTTCTCACTGCCAATATAATCAAGGCCACTACTTGTTTAGAGGCTTTAGGTAACTTAGGTTGGAGGAGGAGAAATAAACATGAATACACGTATAATGGTACTTATTCGATGGATAGCTTGATAAATAGGTCATGCACCATGCCCCACAGGGGTCTAATATCGTGGCAATCCCACCAGATCCCACCAGATGTGCATCATGGTCCCCTCTGCATCGCCAGCAAATGTCTGACACTGCAGGGTATATTCTGTGTAGTTTTGCTAAGTATGAGGTACCATCTGTAAACCAGTTTCTTATGATCGTTTATGTGTGAGTAGCAACGTATAAGACCTTTGAGTGCATTTAAGGAGGAGATCCACTCCCACTCTGTTAATACTCGTCCCCCCTCTCTGACCCACCCTGCACTGAAGGGGAATGTGGTTTCCGAGGTCAAGTTAGATATAGCCGTGTAACACAATGACATGGATTTGGGTTGATTAGGGCGTTTGCTACATCTGTCGTATACTAACAGCAGATTTCTCTTTTCTTTAGGACCTGGGGTCTGTACTTGTGTTGTGATAATGCTTTTCATCTGCAGGTATTGGAAGACAAAAGAGTTGGATAGCTGATATTGCTTTTAGAGATCTGGGAATGGCATGATAGAGCCTTGATGCCAGGGGTCACCTATGATTTTGATTCCCTGGCTGCTCCAGGATTGTAAATTAAACCATAGTGAGAGCATTTTGAGTGTTATTATTGGGATCTGTTCGTGGAATTTATGACTATCTCTATGTTGTGAGTGTATATTATCCCATTGATGTATAGAAATGCTTGTGGTTGGGAACATTTGTGTTGGCTTTGGACGCAGATGTTTGGGGGTCTAGAAGTAATCAGTAATGGAGCCACCCGGTGCTCTGGCATTGTACTGGCATGTCTACTCATTGTATGACATTGGGTTGTATGTGCATTGTTATCGCTCCTTCTAAGTGGGAGGCCCTATGGTACGCGTGGATGTTGGGGAGGCCTACGCTGCCCTGGCTTGGGTGTTTTTCTAGTAATGATGCTGAAAGTCAGGGTTTGCGGGAATCCCATATAAAGGTGCCAATAATGGCTTGAAGTTGCTTGCATAAGGACGTGGGTATTTGCATGGGCAACATTCGGAATGTGTATAAGATTTTCGGCAGTATGACCATTTTGTTGTATTAACCCTGCCCAGCAAGGAAAGCTTAACCGATCTCCACCTCTGGATGTCTGATTTACATAGTTGGAGTAGGAGTTTGTAATTAAGTTTGTACATGTGTGTCACGGAGGCCACCAGTTTCACTCCAAGGTTACCTAATAGTTTTGTGTCTCTCGTGTGGTCAGCCTTATTGGCAGGGCTTGGGTTTTGGTCTGGTTAAGTTTATAAAATGATAGGGAGCCATAATCACGTAGAAGGATCAGTAGCCCTGGTACTGAGGAACTTGGGTTGCTCAATGTAAGCAGAATGTCATCAGCGAACATGGAGAGGCAAAATTCCTTATTATCCATCTTTATGCCTGTAATGTCAAGTTGGTTTCTGATCTTGTAGCCAGGGGTCCGAGGGAAAGGATAAACAACAGAGGGGATAGTGGGCAGTCCTGTCTAGAGCTGTTCGAGAATGGGGCGGAGAGGAATCCTGCATTTGGCACTCATGCTTTTGGTGAGTTATATAGGGCCAGCACTTCAGAAATGAATGGTTGGGGAAAGCCAAACCTATGGAGCACTTGCACCATGTAGTTACAATTAAGCCTGTCGAAGGCCTTCTCCACATTCAATGCTAGGAGGAGGCCCTCGCCACTCGTGGACTGTATGTGGTGTAGGATGTTCAAAAATGTTCTGGTGTTGTCAGAGCCTTGTCTGCCTCTGACTGATCCGTGTGTATTATTCTAGAGATTATGTTAGTTAGACGGTTTGCTAATAATTTAGCATACAGTTTTAAGTAAGAGTTGATTAGTAAGATAGGTGGAAGTTCTGGCAGGCAGTGGGTGGTTTTCCTGGTTTGGGCAGCGTAGAGATATGGGCCAGTAACATGTCGCTAGTGAATGCCCCAGTTTTGGTAACATCGGTTGAAAAGATCTGTTAGATGGGGTGACGCATATGTTTGGTAGTAGAGAGACGTGATCATGAAATTCCATTATTACACCTTGAAGGACAAGATCATGCAAGCCTTCCGTCTGTTACCATCCCTCCAGGCAAATTCTCGGCAGTGAAAATCTTTACCGACCTCTTTGCTACCACTCTGCTAAAAAGGAAGGCCCTAGCCCCCATCACCAGGGCTCTCAAAAAAGCGAACATCGTGTATAAATGGGGATTTCTAGCCCGCTTGCTTATCTGGCACAATGTTACCATGTTACCAATGCAGAAGATGGAAGCCGCCTGCTACAAGAGTGGAAGATCCCAGTACAGATTCCAGAAGGCCCAGAGAGGAAAAGGCCAACTCACCAGTTGCCCACAAAAGTGTCATCAGACTTGAACATGGTGGCTACAGCTAAGTGACTCTTGCACAAACACTGCTATGTTATGCCCAAAAATGGACGTGTTGTCCTTTGATATCATTGTTTTTATTTTTTATATTTTTGCAGAGTTATGTGCACACAGTCCCACAGTCAGATGCACACAGTTATACATATACACTGTCAAATCCACCACATGCACACAGTCGCAGGCAGATAGTCACGTACACAGGATCAGGCAGAAACACACAGTTACAGGCAGTCACACACACACACACACACACACACACACATTGTTACAGGCAGACAGTCACACACAGAGGTACAGACAGTAATATACATATAGCCGCACATACAGTCTTACACATACGCACTTACATTATTTATTTATTTATAAAATATTTTACCAGGAAAGATACATTGAGATTTCTCTCGTTTTCAAGTATGTCCTGGGTCTTTTAGCATGTCACAATGGTGGGTCCAGTAATAACATTGTAGCACAAATCGGCAGAACGAGTTATACAATATATTGAGTTTATTAAGGTGGGTTTGCGGTGCAGGTGCATATACTACATCCCCATAATCAATGATTGGCATCAGCATTTGCTGTACAATCTTTTCCATTACAGTAGGGCTTAGGCAGGAGCAGTGGCGTCTCTAGGATTCATTTTTCGGGGGGGCACATGGAGGGCCAGTGACAAAAGTAGGGGGGCACATTTAACCCCGCCCTCGCCGCAGTTTGACCACGCCCCTGTCACATGTTAAGCCACGCCCCCGACACAATGTGTTTTGTTTTTTTAATAATACCTGGTGGAGGAATCATGATTTTCCACCAGGGATTATTAAAAAAACAAACACA